TCCGGCGCTGAGATAATTAAGATCAAAATTAAACTTGTGCTATATTTGCATCTGCAAAGCATCAGTTATTCAAACATAATGAGTTAATCAGACTCATTTTTCTGAGGGGAAAATGTAATCATGCTTCATCATCTTCTGTGTTGTCATTAAGCTSTGACAAAGTTTCCATATAGAGACTGACTCTTCCTAAATACTTGCACATCCAGCAGTACATCAGAGTTCTTGAAATTTTCTAGGCATTGCTGMAAATCTCATAGTAAATAGTTGTACTAAAGCTACGTTAGAGGACCTTTTGCTTTCTATTAAAAAGTCAATTAATGATAACAATTTGAAGGGGACACCAAACATGGSCCAGGAAGGAAATAATGCTCTGCATCCCATTTTTTGCAATTAAGAGAGAAGCCAGTATTTAGAAAGACTGCTGCCAGTAAACCAGTATGTCACCCAGATTTCTAAATCAAACAGCAAGGGCAAAGAGTAGATTCTCTGGTGACTATGCAGATTTAGCAATTCTGAACTTTTTTTTTAAGAAAAAAAAAAACCCAACCAGCTATTCCTGGATGTAATTTCTAGTTATTTTAATTAATTTAWTTTTAATCCTATGGAGAAATAATTTATACTGTCTTGGTTGCTAGCTATTTAAGATATTGTGGTTACATTTTTGGTGTCTTTGGTACATTTTATTGCAATATTGTCAGAGCACTGCATTCAATTACTACATCTCATGCTGTTTTATTCTTTACAAAGCATCATCCAAACATTTTCTAGCAAGTCCTTGTGGGTAACTATGTCCTGTCCAAGAAACACATGTATGTCCATGTGTTAATAGGTACAAGATYGGTATCAAATTAGTCATTTGAATAAATGCCTCTTTGGTTTGGCTTCTGTGGTCTTAAGCCTCTTAGCTCAAGCTGCAATAGAGTTAAAAAAAATAAACACATCTTTAACATTAAACCGAGTGCATTTGGAAGAGTAAGGCTTATCTGATAGCTGKCTATTGTGCCTCTCCAGTGTTAAAACTTATCAGAGCTTTTCAATCCTCTCTCACTTTTCCAGACCTTGTTACCTCTTCGTGAACCCCACAGATGCCCTGGTTCCCTCTCCTGGATGCCCCAGCTCTTCTCTTTGTTACTGCTCCCATCATGTGCGTGGAGAAGGGACAGTGTCAATGGGAAGCACAAACCCAAACCGCTATGCAGTGGCAAAGCGACAAAGGGAAAAAGAGACGCATCTTGCCAAGGAATGAACTGAAACAATGGCTTGTGGCCAGGAGGTGGGAAGGAGAGAAGATAATAGCACCCAAACTAGAGAAGGGAAACAGCTGGAAATGAAGTTGGGTAGGTCACAGCCTACCAGATCATTAAAGGTGGTTGAGTGTGAAGGAGTGCAATTGAGGGAGGGGACAAACCTCAGAGGAGAGAGGGGACCATAACCCAGAGACAAGAAGTCAAAAAGATGGTCAGGTGAATTAAAGAGGCTACAAAGCCATCAACCAGCAATCTGTGGAAAGGCTATGCTTTTTAATCACTGGACTTTAGSTTCTGTTTTCCCTTTCAGCCTGTATCTCCATAGTTGAGCTAGGGCACTCATGTGGGAGACCTTGCCCAAACACAGTAGAAGTTATAGCTAACAAACAGAAAAATTAATTCTTTCTTCACTGCCAATTATTAACATATWCACAGTATAATGTTTACCTAGAGAGGGATTATATCCAGAACACTTTCACAGAAAGCCACAGAACTGAGATGTTGGATGTCCCTAGAATCATTTTTCTAAATCAAGTTCTGAAAGGGAATTGATTACTGACAATCATTTTTTCAAACAATATAAAGCTGAGGCCCCCAAAGTAACCTAGATTAGAATGCACTGTTCAGTACTATTTCTGAACATATTTTTCCCTTGTGCAAATGCTGTAGATACTTCCTGATTCTCTATGAAATTGGGGAAACATTAACAGTTTGCAGAGAATGAAAAACAGGAGAGACAGTGAAGAACAGTGAAGAGAATGAAATCTCACCGATTTAGCACATCAGTGCTTCTCATTCTCTGCTGATCCAAGGCAGTAAAGGGAATAAGAACAGAAAATAAATATTATTCCTGAGAAAGACATAAAAATGTTAAGTCTTACTAAAATCCACATTTGTCCCGCCAGTCTCTCTGCAAGCTGGATCAGCTTGCTTTGCTCATGTGAGTATTTTCATTAATTTAAACTGGAACTTTGCCTGACAAAAGAGCGCTGGATCTTCCCTTTCTGGGCAGAAGCCCTGTAACTACCAGCTGAAGAACATCAGCACTCCAGATAAGCCATGAACTATTGTATCAGTTGATTTATTGCTAATTAAACACTCCCAAGTTGCTCCTAGTCCTGCAAATTAACATAATTGAAAAGCAAATAGGTTGTAGGCTGATGGTCCTTTCATCAGTTTTGGTGATTTCCACCACGTGTATGTGCAGAGCTGAAAGCACAGCTCAGAGAAGTCACGAAAGTAAAATTCTATTAATTTTTTCTTTAACTTGCACATCCTTGGTCCTTACTAACACTATTTCCTAGTTGTAAACATGACACCCCACTCACCATCTAAAGTTGCCAAAAAGATGTAAAAGATACTCTTTTGAGACATTACAGATTCCACTAATTCAAYGGATAGTTTTAGAAAGAAAAGCATAGGCTTATTCTTTTGCAAGTGGCATGGTAAACTTCAGTGCCAAGTCCCATAACCTAAACAAATWAACCACTAACCTAATTAGAGAGTACTTAAAAAATTATGAAAATATCATGTCTTAATTGGTTGATATGCGTGACACCGCTGTTAAAAAACGCAGTGGCTTACCAACCCGACAGCTGGAAATATCACCCAGGAGAAAACATTCTCACAAAAAATACTCCCTTTCATCCTTTTCTTCTCTTTTCTTCTCTTTCATTTTCCTTTTCTTGTCTTTTCCCTTATTTTCTTCTTTTTATTGCAATTCTGTGTTAACTGTGTTGCTTCAGGCGGATGGCCAAAAGTAGCATCTAGAATTATTGGGAGCAAATCTGTGTCATTTTCACATACATCTGTGTGAGGCCACGCAGGATCTGGGGACAGAGTCTCAGGGAGAGAGGGTAAATTCAGTGCTGACAGCCCTTGATGGGAGGTCAGGCTTCACTCCCTGGGAGTCACAGCCACCAGTTCTCCAGGGGTCTCTGCTTATGTTACAAACATGATGTCTTAACATCTGTGATGTCTCTTCTACCACTAAAGATACTTACAGGGCTGTGTCTCACTTGAAGCGTACCTTGTGAGTTCATGCCAGCAACTAGAAGTGCCCAGAAAATGCCAGTCCAGGCTGGTAAGTTAGGGGCAAATCTTGCAAATGCAACTGGTGGGCAGTACAACTTGTTTATCAGGAAATGGAGGAATTATAATCCGTTCTTTTCAGCACTGCGCCAAATACCCAGTGAAAAGCCAAGGATGTTGTACACGCGGGAAAGTGTCAAGGCTTTCCCAAAAGGCAAAGGCTGCACAGCACAGACTCACAGAACTCATGAGACAGGTAACASTCAGTGGGAAAACAGGACCTGTGTTTTGGCATTTTGTGACTACATTGAAAACAAAAGAAAATCCAAGGRGAACATATAAGAAGCTGTATTGGGCTCCTCTACTTGCTCAAGGTGATTCAACACAGTAAATTAGCACAATGTGAACTATATGAGAGCACACTAGTAATTATGAAACTTCATCACAGCATCTTTGCGAAACTTTGCTTAGAGGTAAGGAGAGGCAAACAAAATTCTTAGTAAATTATAAAATAATTGAGTGGTTAGGGAAAGAAAGCTTGGAGGAGCTTAAAAATAAATTTCTCACACGCAAAAACCAAAACTACCCCTACTGTTATTACGCCTGCACACAAAAACCAAATTATAACATTCAGTTGTTGGGAAACTGATGTGAAACCCTTTAGCAAATTCACTAGATTACTTGAATTCTCAGCCCCTCTGCTGCTTTAAGGAATATTCAAGCAAGATACAGACCCTTCAGGCATTGAGTATTTTGCCTTTTTAGTGCTGAATGTTGGCAGCTCTCTTGCTGCTACAATGTTGCTTATGAAAAGCAGCTGTATTTAGAGATACTAATAATACCCAATAAAATCTATATTTTCTGAAGAAGTCTACCTCCTTCAGCATCACAACACACAACATTCATACTGTCAAAGTTGAGACTTGAGAAGGAAGCACAGGACTGATGGCTTAAAATTCTGCTTTATAGTTTAGCACAAAAGATAGTTGAATGAAGATTATTTCCAATCTGACTTTCAAGTTTCCAGGCAGGGTAGAGAGAAAAGAAGGTTGCACAAGCAAGTCAGGACCTTTTTTTTCTCCCATAACCTTTCTTTTTCTATAATCTTTCTCTCTTCTTTACATTCAAATTTTCATAACCAAAACTTCTACCACCACTGGAGTGTACTCTGGACAAGAAAACTAGAATTTGTTTTCTGTCYTATTAAACAAATGACTGTACCTTAAACTATACCACTGGGATAGAATKTTTTTTTTTATTCTCACAAAGGATCAACATACCAGAGATCAACTTGCCAGGTGTTATTTCTAAAACCAAGTTTGTTTCCCTGCTGTGAATTTTTACTTCACTTTCAAATTTTCCTCACATATTCAAATTCAACTTATTTACTGTCTTGAGAGTTAACAAGAAATTTCTTCCTTTGCTTCTGGCAGCCTTTTGAAAGAATCAAACAAAGAAATGCCAAAGATGTTAGTTTTTTAGATTGCTCTTACTTCTATCAGTTATTAATCCTATAGAGAAAAACAACTGGTTTRAACCACCCGGCTCCCATTTGCACAGTTCTTAACACCAGTTGTGAGAYGATATTGTCCCAGGCAAGCCCAATGAAGTAAATCAATTAATTTAGCACACTAAAGCTCTGAAAACAATGTAAGAGGAAGACTAGCAACTATTTACAYATAGCACACGGACAGACACTTGAGCAATGAAGCAATGTCCTACCTCTCCTTGCCGGTGATAGTGCTTGGGAGGTTTTCCCATCTGCTCTAGGATTTTGCCCTTCTTACTGCTAGCAAGCATCAGTCCCTGGTGGATGCCTGCAGATCTGTTGGTTGCCTGAGTTGGAGCCTCCCCCATCAGGGTGGACTTGATGGAGTTCACCTTGGAGCTGGAGCTGTCTAGCTGGGAGCTCTCCACGATCAGGACCGCGGCTAGTAAGAGGAGACAGCAGGAGCACTTATTCCACATCAGCACGATCATCTCCCCTCCCCCAAAAGGATTATCTTTCTTTTTCCTTTTTTTTTTTTTTTTTTTTTTTTTTTGGCAATAAACACAGGAGAGAGTGGGAAAAAAAGTTTTTTAAAATATGTCCCGAAGTTGTTAAGAAAGCAATTGATTTCAAAGCCACTCAAGGAACTGCTGTTCGGAGAGAAACGGGAGAAAAATAATTTTTAAAAATAATCCCCTAGGAAAAAGCCAAAACTGTGTCAAGTCAATAGGCACTGAGSAACTGTCACGTCTGTGATGTCTTTTTCCTCCGGGTCCTCGAGAAGTCCAGGCAATTCTTTAGCAACTGGGAGGAATAAGCTGCGAGACAACTGCACCCGGGCAGCTCCCCGCCAGCKCAGGCACCAGCACGTTTGCTTAAGCTTCAGAGGAAGAGTGAGCGAGTTACTTCCCCCCACTCCTCCTTCTCTTGCTGCTCAAGCCAGCAGAGAGGAAACTCAAACCAGATCCAATCCAAGCAGCACCGGCAAAAGCTGGGCTTAGTTTTCTTTCACTCTCTCTCCCCCCGCTCTTTACTTTTTATTCCCCTCCTCCTTTTTCTGTCTTTTGCCTCAGCCTCTGCAGTCAGCGGGAGTGAAAGCGCCGGTCTCCTCCTACTCTTCTTCCTCCTCCTCCTCCTCTCCTCCTCCTCCTGCTGCAGCCCGGCGGTGCGGGGCGAGGGGTTCTGGGCATCCGGGGCGCGGGGAGCCCCGGGACCGGCCCCATCGCGGCGGGAGCGCCGGGACCCGGGAGGGGAGGCAGAGCCCATAGGGCTTCCTGCGCTGCTGCCCCTCGYACTYGGTGGTCCCGGAGYCTCTCGCCGGCCCCCTTATTATTAYGGCAGCGAGTGCCCCGCCGCAGCCCCATTCCCGGGGGAACACGCCGCGCAGCGACTTTCGTCCCGTCCGTCCTCGCTTCCCTCCCTCTCTCCGGCGGGGTCAGCCCGGGCCAGGCTGTCCCACTCCCGGCTGCGGCTCCTGCCGTGCCCAGCCCGCTCGGCGGCTCAGCCCCGCCGGGCTCCCTCCGCGACACCGGGCTGCCACACTGMCACGCGTGTCGAGGTGCTCCAGCTCCCCGAAACGCTCCAAGCACAAAGCCCGTCATTCGCGCAGAGCTCTGAAGGAATGGGGCCCGCAGGCAAAACTGGCCAAACCTGGTACCCSAGCCAGCGGAATCCCTGCCCAAGTAAAGGGCATGTCCAGCCCTGAAGGATGCGCTGCACTGCTCCCACACTTGACCCTTCTCAGTGCCACAGTGCCACCACCCACCCAAGACACTTACTTTCTATCCACCTTCTCAATTTCCTTGGCGTGAGCACACATCCGACTGCCATAAACCCCCCCCAAGTGCTTCGAACTGCCATCCAAAGGCATCACCTTGCTGCAGCACCTAAACACCSTATTTCAGRAAAAGGAAGATAAAYAGGGACTCAGAGCATAAAATTAGCAGAACTGTGCAGCTCTGAACTTTTCCCTGCAAAAGATCTTGAGCAGAGCAGAGAACATCACCATGAGGAACTTGGTTTCTGAAGCGCAGCAGCTACTAGCCCTTATCTTTCCCCTCGACATGTGAAAGTGGGGTGGAGAGAAAAAAAAGATGGTGAGGGGGACAGCATTCTTGCTGTCACACATGTTCATGTATGAACATTGCCTTGTCTGGGAACAGTGAAGAGAATTTTCATGCTTTTTGCCTCTTTTGAAGGGTCCCTCCTCTAATCTATCAATCATTTTCTGTTACTCTACCCCTTAACACAGCAGAAGGGGTGGAAAAAGAAATAGGCAGTTGAAATTTCATTTATTCTCAATTAACTGCAAAAAGCAGTTGCCAAGGCAAGAAAAAACAGAAAGGAGCCAGGCACTGTTTTGGCCTCCAGTGCTGCTGCTCCCTTATAGTGAGCAGAAGCCCTCCTGGGAACTTGGGAACTCTGCAGGAATGCCCCAGGAACCACACCACCTTGGATAAGATTTTTCAGATGTTGTCTAGCTAACGTCATGTGACTGCCAGCAATGTGTCTTAACTTTATGGGTCTAATTATGTTAAACAGAGAATCTTGTGAAGAGTGTAGTCATTTGCATCATTTTCCACAGCTCAAACCTCAGAATTGTTTGGGAGGATTTAAACACATCTACTGGGGCAGTTTGGGGTTTTTTATCTTCCTTATCCAATGATCTTTTACTTTAGGGGTTTATTACTTTGTTGTTTTGTTTTTGTTTTTTTTTAAAGTAACAACTGAAATGRCAATTCAGTCCCAAGGCCCCAAGATTGAGTTTTATACTCTTTTACAGAGTATGACACTTGTTCTGACTAAAGAGTCAGATGAGTTCATGTTTACTGGGTTTGAAACTGGAAGAAATATTATTGCACTTGATTTCAAAAACTTAGGTTCAGCATTAATTTTTTTTTTTTTTTTCTGTGCTCAGCTTGGCAAGGAGCAGAGAATGAAAAAAGGCCCCCAAGTTTGCCTTCTTCACAGCATTTCAGGTTTTTTTCTGTCTTTGTGCAGCCTTATATAAACTAAAAGTACCTTTCTGACTTCATCCTTGGTAATGCCCAAAGGATAATTTTTAAGGAAATGTTTCCAAAAAATCAGAAAGCAACTTGCAATTTCACAGGGCAGAGATACAAGCCAGCCTTTTTTGACTGTGTTTGACTTGGCTTTTGACACCCAGCCTCATGGTGCTTCAGTCCTCCCAAACCCAAAAGCAAACAGCTATCAGTACCCACAGGAAAAGCTCCAACTGCCATGGAAAGTTGTCATTTCATCTGTGTTTCTCTTACTGAGGAAGGAACAAAAATTTTCAAGTCAGGTGGTAGGGTATTATCCACCAGAGCTTCTTGGAATAAGGGAAGATTACAAAGTGAACAAAATAATTTGATGAGACATGCAAAGAGAATACATGACAATAGAAACACAATACAATGACCTCATGCAAATTTCATACAGCTCTTCTTGAAATAAATGTAAATGTCTGGTATTAAAAGAGGTACACAAGCATCTAAAGGATCAGATAGTAAGTAGTCTCTGTCTAAATTAATTAAAYATATGTCTATTAAATCCTTACTAAAAATTTTACTTACGTTAAGAAATGTAAAATGCAAGCCACATTACACATCCTTAGATACAAAGTCCCTGTGTATTCATAATGTCTAGAAATTTGAATAAAAATGGCATGGAATGATCAAACATTTTCAGATATCTCAGAACAGGTGTCCCAAGCACATTTTGTCAATCAGTCCAGACTCAGTGAAGTATGAAGTTCATCAGTCAGTTATATTCAGCTAAGGCTTCAGGCATTAATTTAGTGGGAATATAAATGGGTAACTTTCCAAGAGGACAAGACCTATCTTGTGACTCACTGCTCTGAAGGAAAGATACTTTGCAGCATCTCTGGAGAAATGGAAATAATTTTACTTTATTACCCTGACATTTGCCTCCAGAGGAAGCTACAATCCACTTCACTGCAGGGCAGACGCTGCCAGACCAACATGATGCTCCAGACCACAGAAACCAGAAGTAGATGAGCAGGACACTAAATCTGTGCTGGGGAGGAGCTTGTCTTTTTCTCCCCTTAACAAATGCATGATACAAAGGTATACTTGCAGAGAAACAAGCTATTGGTCGTTTGGGTGCGGGGGTGGGCTCTTTAGGTTTTTCCCCCACTTTTAATTAGCATTCAACACATGCCTTTTCTACTCCAAACTGGTCGAATACAGACTTCCAAAACAAGGTGTAAATTTCCTGTGCTCCTCATTGCAGCACCCCTGACATACCTCAGGGTCTGTTCACACATTTATTTCACAGTATGCACTTAAATAAGAAACTATGGAGGCAAAAATATCGAGAAGCACCTCTTCCTTTTTAAATTTATGACTATGCCAGTGCAACCTAGGTTTTAAGAGACATCAAGAACTTCTAAAACATTCAAATGCCACAAAGCATGTTGTGTTTCTCCTTGGGGCTCCTCTACCAGAGAACCAGCTACAAAAGACAGTGGCCATGTGCAGAGTACAGAGGTTGCCACACTACAGATCACACAGAAACACAGTTTACCATCAAGTTCTTTGCTAAGTTTGGATGCCTGTTCTGGAGAAGCTAAGGCCCACATAATTTGTGTGTGGTTAGTCAAACATCTCCAAGCAGTACATTAATTTGTGCCCAAAAGGGCACTTTGCAGATTACCATACAGAATAATGCACTACCCCAAAAAAACACTGTCAATGGCAAATCCTACATCACATGTGGGAAGGTCATGAGAAATCTCTCATCAAGTAACATATTGGAAGCAGGGAATGAACCTGCTTCTCGACAGCGCATCTGTAACCACAAAATTTCCTGGGATCCTCCAGAGGTGGGACTTACCCCTTGACTCAGGATACCCTCCGCATTAACTGCTGCTTCTTCCTGAAGAATTCCAGTAGGAGAAGGAGGGGCTGTGCTGGTTACAATCCAGGCACACTTGACAGCCAAGAGGCCCACGCTGATAAACGGCGGTGAGACCTCCAGTGCAAACACTGAGAACTACATSAGTGGGCCACAAGTGGTCAGTTCTCCTTTAACAATAAAAAACATATTTATTTCAATACAGGAATGTACATCCGTATCTCTTTGGAGCTAAACTAGCACGCCTTGCCTTCTGTAAGAAACATGGGGTTTTTCTTTTGTCTCATTTGTACCCATGGAGAGGAGACAAACATTAGAGTAAAGACTGTTTTCATTTCTAAACCAGGTATTCATACCCTGAACAAATGCTGGAGGTTTAAATGGTTCAGACACAGTTCTACTTGACAAATGCTCTGGTGTTTCTTTTAATTAAATTTCTTTATAAATTTAATGAGAAAATTGAGTGGCCTTATGCAAACAAAGGTTTTTCTCCAGTTTTGCAACTTGTTCCTGACAAAAGAAAAAGGCATAAAATKTATTTAAATTTGTCAGATTTTCACTGAAAAAAAATCAATATTTTGATTTCTTTCCCACTGTCTCTTTGTTATTCTTTGCCAGGGAATTTCATTAAGTTAACTGTAGGCCTTTCTTCATTTTTCTTGGGAGGAGGATACAATTTGGGAGTGGGCAGGGGGAGAGTGTCAGGAAAGAAACAGAAAAGAAAAGTAATCCTTTTTTTTTTCTTGCTTTCCCCTCCTTTGACTCAGAAAGCTTTAGAAGAGGAAATATTTGGAAAGGGMAGAATCTAGCAGAAGTCAAGACAAAAGCAAGAAATTAAGGAAGACAAGAAATTAACATATTCAATTTAAAGACAAAAGGAAAAAAGGATGTAATGAGGAAATCCTTTACCTGACCTCCTTCAAAGGGCCAAAATTACACACTGTAAATGTAAAATATTATGGGCCAGAYTACAATCCTGTGTATTTTACAGCATCTATATTTTAAGCCACGTGACTTTAGTTGAAACCTTTTTGATTTGCACCAGCTTTAGTTCAGTCTAATGGCCTATGTTTTCCTTTCCCTTAAACAAACAAAATTACCTGTTCTTCAAATTAAATCTGCTTTTAATTCTATATAAAGCATTTAGGAATACTTGTCATATGAAAGACATTCTATTACACAGAGGTGTATTGTTTTTTGTTATTATTTTTTAGGTTTACCAGCTRCACTGAATTTCCATTGCCCCTCACATAAACTCTAACAATTTGGATACRGCCAAATCTCTCTGAGCATTGCTCCTGGGGCCTACTTTGTCTTTATTTAATTTCTGACTAAAAAATGCAATCACA